ATTATATTGATGGTAAATTTCGTTTTGTTCCGTTTCAAAAGGTCTCCAAAATGTCATGTTGTTATAATATTAATACACCAAATATCCCTCTTATTTTTCTCTTTCGCAATTGTAATATGAATGATTAATATAAGGGTGCCTATAATAAATTAAAATTATCTGAATCACACCAAATTCCGCATTACCGCACTGCACTGCTAGGCGACTTGTCGACTACTGAATTTTATAACGCAATAGGCCAAAGCAACAGTGCATATTGCTCTTTGCCCGCACGCTCATTCTTCAACTGAGCATATACATTTCTACCACCTGCACGTTTCGTTCGACCAGACCTGTATATGGATATGGCTAAATATATGTGGGAACAAGTTTTTCAAATATTTCAATGCCGATTGGCTGTTTAGCGACCGAGCCTGGTACATACCTTGAAATTATTGCTTCTTCAATTGACTTCGGAAAAACTATACTTAAGAGCCGTATACTATTTTTCGCACGATTAAAGAAATTTTTAATGAGATAATGAGTTTACAACTATACAATATAATTTTGAAGTTACTTAAATGATAAGTATTATTTTTGTTCTATTGCTAATCGATGTTATTGCTTTTAATGCTGTTATGGAATTATTGTTTACTTACTGTGCTTGTATTGTTATACCTATAACAGCACACAGCAATTTTGTATTTCTGTGGAGAGAAATTATTACATGACCTACAGGCAATGTTCCCTCTAATTTTTTCGTCGACTGCGCGTTACAAAAGTACATTATTATTATTATTACAAAATAGGTTAGGGCAGAGTACTTACGTCCAATTATACCCAAAATTAACAAAATATGTACAGCATAATAGGTATAATAAACATACATATTAAAGAATTAACTTAAAACTAATATCTATTACAAAAGGTGAGCATCCAGTCTACTTTTAAATGAATTAAACGATGGTGCACCAATTGCCTAGCTCTAGATTTAAATTTTTTTTTTTTTAACTTTAAGTCATGACCTTCTAAATTATACTTTTTTTAGTAAAATTTGGAGTTCTACCATTTTTAGATGCAATTCTTTCATAAAATGAAATTTAAAAAAATGGTGAACAAGCCCATTGTGCCCAGAATACAAAAACGACTGCGCAGCTTAGAGGGAACTTTGCCTACAGGGCCTATCACAGCACCGATTAATAATGAATAAGTACAATAGTGTTAAAAAATAATGTAATTAACAATTTAAATTTTTTTGTTAATTAGCAAATTTATGTAATTTATGAATATTTCTTTTTCAATAAAGTGAATGAAATTAACTAAAATTATTAAATTCATCTTTAATTACTAGAATATCAGAATTTTCCGAATTCACTAGTATTGTTATAACTGAATTAATAAACTTATATTTCCTTTAATATTTATACTTTAAAATTATTTCGGTTACTTGTAAAAAGGTATTACTTTTCCCTCCTTGATTCCTCCAATTTTCATTAAGGTTGACCTGCCATTAGGGCCTTTTTAGTTCATCCTGGCGGCCGTTAGATGCGCTACGGTTTTATTTATCTACTTTTCTGCAGGCTACTGTGTTAATACAGGGTGTCTCATAATTAGCTGCCAACCCTGAACAGGCCGATTCTATGATCAAAACTAAGTAAAAAAGTTCATATGAACATGGGTCCGGAAATGCTTCCTAAGGGCACAGGGACCCATTGAAGAGGGAGGAATGGAAATCATTTTTTTGCAATATCTCTCAATCGCGTTGTGATAAATGAATGAAATTTGGTATACACAGCTAAATTTTGATGAGCAATTTGATGGACTAATCCATTTATTTCCACAAGGTCCATTGGGGTGGGTACGGGGGGGCCCTTGGTACTTTGCGTGTGTAACTTTTTCATCTTTGACTTTTTAACAAATTGGACAGCAAATTCCGTTTTCCCGAACTGTTTTACGTTAAAAAGGTACTCTTGTTTCAAATCGTTATCTTTAACGGTTTCTGAGAAAATCGCTCTTGAATTAATCCCACTTTGGTCAATTTCATAGTAATTTAAACAAAATTATCAAGGTATTCTTATGTCAAAGTATTGTCAACCCGATTGCCAATTTAATAGTTCTAAGCGAAAAAAATGGAAGAGTTTACGGGACAAGAGTTAGTTGATATGATATTTATTTATGGCTTTTGCGATGGTAATGCTGCAGCGGCAGAACGCGAGTACGGGAGAAGGTTTCCAAACCGAAGGCTGCCATCAAGGAGGACATTCCCTACGGTATTCCGCAACTTAGCTGCAACCGCCACTTTTCGAAAGGCACCGGGTCAAGGACGTCCCAGGATTAATAGGGAAGCGGAGGTCCTTGACGCTATTGAACAAGATCCTACGACTAGCATACGGAACATTTCAAGGCAAATAAATGTTCCTCGGCCAACGGTACTACATATCTTAAAGATTTCCTTAACAGAATTGATTAGATGTGCTACTAACATTTCAGGTTGGAAGAATATTAAAGCGACAAGGTCTACATGCCTATCACTATCGACGTGTACATGGCTTGATACCAGAAGATTTTGCGCCACGTATGCAATTTTGTCGCTGGATTTTGTCGCTGGACAACGAGCAAGCTTCCAAAATTTTGTGGTGTGACGAAGCTACTTTTACCCGAAATGGAAAATTAAATTTTCATAATTCTCATTATTGGGAAGAAGAGAACCCACATGTTGTTCGGAGAACAAACTTCCAGCAACGGTTTTCCATAAATTTATGGGCGGGAATAATTCACGACACTCTGATTGGACCTATTGAAATTCCACAACGTCTCAATTCAAATCTTTATTTAAACTTACTTCAAGAAAATCTTCCCCAAATTCTCGATGATCTGCCTCTAAATTTACGACGTAACATGTTTTTTCAACACGATGGAGCCCCGGCACATAGTGGTCGCAATGTTCTAAATTTCCTAAACGAAAATTTCGCTGGACGGTGGATAGGGAGGCACGGACCGGTAGCTTGGCCGCCGCGTTCTCCCGACCTAACCCCGCTGGACTTCTTTTTCTGGGGATATCTAAATCAAAAAGTTTACGCCACCGAAGTCGATACCCGTGAGGAATTGCTGCAGCGTATCAATGATGCAGCCAATGAAATTCGTCAAAACCGTTTTAGCATCTTAATAGCTTCGAGAAGTGTTACACGTAGGGCAAGACTTTGTATCAGAGAAGGTGGAGGGTTTTTTGAACAGTTTTTAAAATAGCTTGTTGTCTGTTATCAAAATTAAGTTTCCATCTTATGATCCCTTCGAAAAGTGACGGTTGCAGCTAAATTGCGGAATACAGTGAGGAATGTCCTCCTTGATGTCAGCCTTCTGTTTGGAAACCTTCTGCCGTACTCGCGTTCTGCCGCGCAGCATTACCATCGCAAAAGCCATAAACAAATCATCATATCATAATTGTTCTACATCAATAATGTGTATTACTGATTACGTATTAAATTATTATTATTTTTTTTTGTTTAAATTACTATGAAATTGACCAAAGTGGGATTAATTCAAGAGCGATTTTCTCAGAAACCGTTAAAGATAACGATTTGAAACAAGAGTACCTTTTTAACGTAAAACAGTTCGGGAAAACGGAATTTGCTGTCCAATTTGTTAAAAAGTCAAAGATGAAAAAGTTACACACGCAAAGTACCAAGGGCCCCCCCGTACCCACCCCAATGGACCTTGTGGAAATAAATGGATTAGTCCATCAAATTGCTCATCAAAATTTAGCTGTGTATACCAAATTTCATTCATTTATCACAACGCGATTGAGAGATATTGCAAAAAAATGATTTCCATTCCTCCCTCTTCAATGGGTCCCTGTGCCCTTAGGAAGCATTTCCGGACCCATGTTCATATGAACTTTTTTACTTAGTTTTGATCATAGAATCGGCCTGTTCAGGGTTGGCAGCTAATTATGAGACACCCTGTATACATAAAACCTTCATGAATGGTTACAAGCCACGTAATCAATAATTTTCTTTGTAATAGTGATTTTATTTCCTTAAGGTTGGCAATAAAATTTCTGTAATATCTAGATTATGTTTAACATTCTGTTTCACTGGCTTGTGATTGGAATATTTGTTTATTCACCAATAAGCGATCGCATTGTTTCAAGCATAGACGAACCTGTGTGTCATTGCCCATTATAAACGGATTATTTATTTTGGTGATGCTAAGATTTTTAGTTGACAGTACCAATCGTGCGATGTTAGTTGCCTAAACCACAGTATAGAAAATAGTAAATTCACTGCCTATCTAATCTATTTATAAAAAATGGACCCTAATTTCATTTTTTATGTCGTTTTAAGTGACTGCGCAGAGACCACGCGCAAGTAGGTGAACCTCTAAAACTGAAAGCTAAGTTGAGCTCATAGATTGATTGGGCTTGTTGGTGGACTAGGGGCTGGGCTTGCTATTGCGCATAGATCACGCGTCCCTTTACTGAACTTTTAGAGCAGTGGGGTTGTGGTCCACAAAAGAGGGGGAGTGAATTTATTTACTGTTTTCTGTACTGTGCCTAAGCAGTAAGCTTGGCGATCGCATAGCTTGTAATGGAGGCTCTGTATATGTTATGTGATTTAATTTGCGCATATGCAACAGTTAAAACTTACGTATACATTGAAGTTCCAAACTCAAGTTAAACTATATCTAATATTGTTATGTCTACCTCTTTCGACTTTTGGTTAAAGAAATAAAAAGAATTATCCAAATTTTCATGTTTTCATCGAAAACTATAAAACGAAAAATAAATTATTTTGTTTTCAACATGTTATTCATCCTGAAGTTCTGCTTTTATTTGCTATATTTTAATCAAAGTTGTATCTCTTAAACTGAGATCTAAATATCGTTAAATTTACTGAAATGTAAACCGCTCAATATCGTAGTTCGTCTGTACATCGATCACATGAACTGTGGTGGATTGGTCATATTTGTCGGGCACTTAACGTATAAGCTACCGAAATAATTATTTATTTTTTCATTTTTAGTTGGACCCTACCATTTTTTAAATATGGATATAAAAATGATTTGCAAATAAAGGATATATACAATGCTTCAAAGAACGATTTATCTGAACCTCTGGGAAATGAGCTTCAGAGGTAAGTAAATCATCTTAATTAAAAATAGATTATCAAAAGAAATATGTCTGAAAGTTGAAAGTCATAACTAAAGATCGGAAATGTTAGGGCGGCTACAATGTGGTACAGGGTTGGCTGTAGGTCGGGTTATCTTTTATGTAACTATTCAAACAAAAAGTGACACAATCGTTGTCTTGTTATAACTGCACTCATTATATTATAAGAATATGTATGTATGTATGTATGTATGTATGTATGTATGTATGTATGTATGTATGTATGTATGTATGTATGTATGTATGTATGTATGTATGTATGTATGTATGTATGTATGTATGTATGTATGTATGTATGTATGTATGTATGTATGTATGTATGTATGTATTTGCATAATAGTATGAAACAAAAAGGGGCAGTATCTATTTTTCTACACTAAACGCTTCACATGGAACTTACCATAAAATATACAGGGTATAGCAAAAGTTTCTCTAAAATGCTCCCGCCGAGTTATTCTGCCGTTCCCGTACTTTTGTTAGTTGGACCTTGTGGGCGCCCCAAGGTCAAGTTATATCTGAACGTAAAATGTTCCGCTCTTTTCATTTCTGGGGTCAAAAGTACAGGGTCCCATTTGAAAAATCACATTTGACCTTGAAATGATCTTCAAGGTCAAGATCACCATCGGATAGCCAGGGAGAAATCCTGAAACTTTTGTATTTAACTTTTTTCTCTAAAATGCTCTCCCGCCGAGTTATTCTGCCGTTCCGGTACTTTTGCTATACCCTGTATAAAGTCCGTCCAGCAGAGGCTTGCCTTATATTTTACGCGTTATCTTCAGAATATTGAAATACACACAATACTGTTCAGCTGTAAATTAAATTCCTTTCATTTATTTTTCACCTCATTGACTTATTTCAATAAGAAATTACACTGAAAATGCACAAGACAATACACTTCCAAAATAACTGGTCTCCGTAATTGCAAAAGATAGTATGCACTGCAAGCTGCTACGGTGAACGCCACGCCGCCAATATTTTTCTACCTCGGGTGTCGAACGCAGTTACTTCCAAGAGAGCGATGCAGGAATCTTGTCGGAATTCTATCTCAACAATTATCGTACGGACTGTAAGTTTCCAAGAGAGCGATGCAGGAATCTTCTTTAAATTCTATATCAACAAGTATCATACGGACTGTAGGCATAGTACGTAATAATAAGTCCCAGCAAAAGTTAACAAAATAATCATTTCTAACTCGTAAGGAAAACGATTTTAGAAAATAATTAACAGTTGACCTAAGTGTTCCGAAGTTCGTCTAAGGCGATTAGTATAAATCCCCATTTCAAAAACGAAAATGAACGTTTAACATTTACCAAAATCTAATATAGTCAAATTTTTAATAGATGCTATTTTATGGTGGTGAAGCATCAACTACTTCACATTTTAGTAATCCAACTATCCGTGTCATTGTACAATAACATGTACATGTCTATTTATTCGATCTAGCGCTGTTGGCCTAGCATGCCTGTGAATGATCCCGGTTTTTTTGCTGAGATGTTGACCGTGCATTTCATTTTCGTTTGTGCATGTGTGAGTGAATTTGAGACGCTCTGCTTGATCCATTGCCTGGCACGTGTTTTTTGTGGCAGTCATTAGCATCGTGTATTGTGAGCATAGACACACGGCCTTACCACAGATTTAGCCTATGTCTGCTGCTATAACGGGTATTGCCGCTTACTAACATAATATAGATTACTACTGCTTATTTATTTGATTGTCGCTATAAAGTTTCCGATATCTAGTCATAACTTTTTTTAGCATCACTAACCTGTTGTGTAGGTGATAATATTTTTTTAAATCTGCCCTTCACAATCTCCAGACATGAAAATATGAAAAATTAAATTTTTTCAGAAATTGGGAAAAAGAAATTAAAAGAGCGAATAAAAAGAAAGAGTCACCAAGTTTGAAGCGTGCCATATTTAACACTTTTTTCAAATCATACTCTATGTATGGTATCATCTTATTTTTGCAATGCATTGTTTTAAAGTAAGTATACAGATACTTACTGTTATATTAATATCAATATCATCAATTATATTAGAATGTTACAGCCCATAGTACTGGCCGAGTACATACATTACTATGACCTCTCCACCCAAGAATCGAGACCAGAAACAGGTTGGCTGTTGGGTTCTTGTGTAGTGCTGATGGCATTTCTTAATGTCGTTATCATGCACTATGCCAGTGTAGGATGTCAAAGGATTGGAATGAGGGTTAGAACAGCATGCTGTTCATTAGTATATAGAAAAGTTAGTACCTCTCAATTTTTAGTTTTATTTTAAGGAAAACTTAAATGTTTCTGATTATGACTAAAGTTGCCACATTTGCACTGTAGAAAAACCTGCCCAACCAAAAAATAAAGCTAACAAAACATCTAATATCTAACAATTATACATATTTTTTTTAAATAACTCCAAAACAGCTGATACGATCGAAATAAACAGGTTTTTCTTTTGTTTATTTTTTTTCTCAATATTCTGATGCAGAGGTAGTTAATTAATATATAAAAAAAAACAAAAATTGATGGCATGTTTAATGAAATAATTTTTTCCGTATGATTCAGTTTGAAAGACACAAAAAGTTACTATTGATTGATAACGATAATCTACACCATTTATGCTCATATATACCTACTACAGATTCTATAAATCAAACTACCATGGACTACTTTCAAATACTGATACATGATAGGTACCAATTAAAATTTAAAAAAGTTTTATAACAAAATTAAATTTAAAAATAATATTATACAAAATAAGTTATGGTAAGTTCTGAAATTTGTTAAAACTTCTTGTCAAATAAAGTGATTAACAAACATATCGTGTATATCTGTGTTCACAAATTATGTTTCACATATTTTCAACATGTAACATACTCGCAATTTTAAATCAATTTTACTCCAGAATTATGCAACTTATGAAGTGGTACAGAGCAACCTTTTCACTGTAAAATTGTCTAAAATATCTATTTTTAACTCAAACAATTGATTTTTTCGTATATGAAAAAATCTTCCCAGTTTGGGACACTATTGAGTCTCATGACTAAAATTTAGAATTTTATTTTATACATCATCAGTTTGATCGTTTTATGTCAATAAGTTATATATATATATATATATTTGGAAAAAAATCAACTTAAGGGGCAGAGAGCTGCTTGTATATAACAATTTTGAGACACTCCAGAAAAAGTTTTCATTTTGTGTTCTCGAATAGAACATTTGTACACAACGGTTCAAGTACAAATTGAGAATGTTTTCACCTCTTGAATACTAAAATATGAACTTAAAGTCACAGAAATAATTTATTGAAACATTTTGTATTGGATTCGGTGGGCAGGAATATGAAGAGCATTATTAACATTTAGACTTATTTCTATTATTTTACTTACCAGCCCAAATAATATTCACTGATAAATCAGCCTTTAAAGAAAAAACCCAACTTAGTTGCAACCCTAATTATGACATTAAATTTTGATTAAACTTTCTGCTTTCTTCAATAGCATAAAAAAATCAATAATTTAATTTTTATACTATTTTTTAGCTTCTAAAATTAAGCCAAACTTCTTTAGGCCAAACTGCAGCAGGTCAATTAGTAAATTTGTTGTCCAATGATGTCCAAAGATTTGATATGGCCGCAAATTTTCTCCACTATGCTTGGATTATGCCAATACAAGCTGTCATTGCATTTTATATAATGTACAGAAGTGTTGGATATGCTGCTATAGCTGGAATGTTGGCAATCACTCTTGAGTCAATTCCTTTACAAGGTATTACATCACTATCATTTTTTCAGCTTTTAAATTAGGTAGCAGCCTTTATAAGTGACACTTCATATGCAGACTATCAAAATAAATGTTGCAGTTTTCTACTAGTAAATAATAATAATAATACCAACCGATTCCTAATGAATATCTTAGATTATCAAAATAGTTAACCGCATAATATAGATAATGATAATCTCAAAAAAGTTTTTTTCACTACATATTTTATGTATACAAATTTGTCTTTGTCAACATTTTAACTTTTAAGGTTATATGTCGAGGCTACAAGGAAAATGGAGATATCATATCGCATTAAGGACCGATAACCGTGTAAAACTTATGAATGAAATTACAACAGGTGTTCAAGTCATCAAAATGTATGCTTGGGAAAAACCTTTTGAAAAGGTTATTGAATTAGCTAGAAGGTAAATTTTTGCTAGGGACCAAATTTAATATTTTAATATAAACGTAAGTTGTAACTGAAAATGAGAGTCACATCATGATTTCCATACCCACAACTACTCACTGACTGTCAAAAATACCATAATGTAATTGTTACATTCATTTATTTTCAAGTTTATTTTTTATTTTAAACGTTTTAAGTTAAGAATTAAGTAACTAGCTACAGCTTGTCAATAACGTGAAAGCATTTACCTTCTCCAAATTTAAGAATATTTTTTTTACTCGTATAAACATTATTTGCTCTTGAATCTGTCATTTTTTTGAGATGCAGAATGTTGAAGTTTTCAAAAAAATAAAATTATCTTAATATCCTGTATACAAATGAAAATATTAAAATGATATTGTGTGTGCACAGTACATGAATAAATATGGCTCAAATCCAATGTGGAAATATGATTAGTCTCAACAGCTCAAACTAGTGGCATATACAGGGTGATTCTGAATAGAGTAGCACACACACTACCAGTGCATCTAGATGAAAAAATAAGGCGAATGAACTAAATATACCTTAGACAAAAGTTGCACTCCTGAGGCATTACAGGGTCTTGAATATTTCCTTCAATTTATCTTGAACGATGTGGCGTAAATAATTTATATTTGGTACAGACATTTGTTCAGTGGGCACACATACTTTCTATTAATATTGTTTAAATATATCCACCAGAGGCGCTGCTGTCGACTACATGCAACATATTACTCCAAAAAAATTTTCACCCTGTTTGAAAATACATATATTATTTACATTTTCGGACATAACAACTAAAAACAAACATTTTTTCTCTTGCATTTTTTCGATAAACGCAATGGTTTTTTTAGATTATTTACGAAAAACAAACTTCGGAAATTTTACAGCGCCAATGGTTGCAGTAACAAACACATCAACACACCATTCTGTAATAGCAAAAAAAAAACGCCTTTCTTGTAAAGTAATTTTAATAAATTTATTTAGGAGTATTCTTTATGTAACAAATAAAATTATTTTAAGTGTAATTTAAGTAATAATATCTAATTTAATACTACCTATTGTAATCTCGAATGTAATACTACAACATAACGTTATTTTAAATTAAAAATTTTATAAAGAATATTTTGAAAGTAGTTCCCACTTTCCTTTGAACACAATCTAACACGATTTGTTTGAGGATTTCCTGCTTAAATTGATAAGTATGGGAATACTTCGCCAACATCATAGTTGCCCCTGGTAAATCGGAAACAAATTTGCTGAGTAAACAATTTGCTATTTTTGTGTTGATGTGTCAGTGTCATCAACGGTTTCAAATAATAGTTGTTTAATTATGGCAAATTTTACTAACAATGAGTATGTTGATATGCTCCAAGTATTTTTTGAATGTCACAAAAATTGTGCTGCCACAACAAGATTGTACCATGAGATATCCAAATCGCCGGGTTCGCCACAGGCAAACTTTTTCAGCTGTGGAAAGAAGGTTACGAGAAACTGGCCAAATTCAACCTAAGCATGAGGGTAATGGACAAAGACGGTATATCAGAAATGTAAACCTTGAAGAAGCTATACTTATCAATTTAGAAGAAAATCATCAAACAAGTACAAGAAGACTGGCTACACAGTACGTTTCGCAAAGCCTTGTTTGGAACTTGATTCATTATAACCTATTACGCCCTTTTCACCACCAGCTGGTTTAAGAATTAACTGCAAATGATTTACCTGCAAGGATTGTTTTTTGCCAGTGGTATCTTAACATGTCCAGACACGACTTAAATTTTTTATCTCATATTTTGTTCACCGATGAGGCATGTTTTCAAAGACATGGCTTAGTTAACCATCGTAATAGTCATACTGATGAAAACCCCCATGAAATATGTCCATCAAGATTTCAGCACAATTTTAGTGTAAATGTATGGTCAGGAATTGTTGGAGATGCTCTAATAGATCCATTTATTCTTCCCCGTCGACTGACAGCTCTTGAATATCTTCGATTTTTAAATGAAAATCTCCCAATGTTATTGGAGGATACACCACTAGGTGTACAATAAGTTATGTGGTACATGCATGACGGGCTCCGGCACATAGTACCTTAACTGTCAGGCAATGGTTGAATTTAAATTTTCCAGGACGTTGGATAGGTCGTGGTGTCGATGCACCCATTAGTTGGCCTGCCCGTTCACCGGACATTACCCCACTTGATTATTTCTTATGGAGACCACTGAAGTTTTGTTTATGCTACTCCTGTTAATACTGTTGAAGAATTGCGTCGAAAAATCTTTCTCGCAGCTGATGATATTCGTAACAACCCAGAAATATTTGCAAGAGTACGACATAATTTTAAACGTCGTGTTAGATTGTGTTTACAGAAAAATGAGAACTACTTTGAAAATATTCTTTAGAAACTTTTTACTTTAAAATAACGATATATTCCTTAGTATTACATTCGAGATTACAGTAGGTAATTTTAAATTAAAATTTATTATTTAAATTAGACACTAAAAATAACTTGATATGTTACATAACGAATACTTCCTGTTCCTTCAAAATAAATTTATTAAAATTACTTTACCAGAAAAGCGTTTTCCTTTAGCTATTAATGAGTGGTGTGTTGATGTTTTTTTATTACTGCAACCTGACTGCAACCATTGGCACTGTAAAATTTCCGAAGTTTGTTTTTCGTAAATTATCTAAAAAAACTATCGCGTTTATCAAAAAAATGCAAGAGAAAAAATGTTTGTTTTTAGTTTGGTGTTTGCTTGGTCGATAGCCGCACGGTTTAAGGCATCAGTCCTTAAATCGTGTGCAAATTTCTGCCCGGGTTCGATTCCCGCGACCGATAGACCGTAGATTAGCTATGCTTGTACGGAGGATTGGCACCCTCTGTGCAGGTATGGTAGGGTGGAAGAATGTTGGCTTGGGTCAATGTGAGAGATTGACACCGGTTGGCATTTGACCACCCCCCTAATTAATGAGGTTTTCCAGGTTTCCCTCATTCCTGCACTGAATGGTGGTTAGGGCCTACCGACATAAGTCGTTTCTGGGCGCAAATGCGGCCTGCATAATAATAGTATGCCGCCTCCTCTCCCGCACAAGTCTCCGAATTATGGGCTAATTCCCGTAGTTAGAATGAGGAGTAGAGATATTATTATTATTATTATTATTATTATAGTTGTTACGTCCGAAAATGTAAATAAGATATGTATTTTCATACAAGGTGAAAAATTCTTTGGAGTAATATGTTGCATGTAGGCGACTCTGGTGGATATATTTAAACAATATTAATAGGAAGTATGTGTCCGCACTGGACAAATGTCTGTACCAAATATAAATGATTTACGCCACATCGTTCAAGATAAATTGAAGGAAATATTGGTTGGCTCTACAACATTCAAGACCCTGTAATTCCTCAGGAGTGCAACTTTTGTCTAAGGTATATTTAGTTCATTCGCCTTATTTTTTCATCTAGATGCACTAGTAGCGTTTGTGTTACTCTATTCAAAATCACCCTGTATATGAATTATGCTGTTATATTTTCCTCACAAACTATGGCCATTCGAAAAAAAAATATATTTTTGCCATTTTTAAAATGATCTCTTAACTTTTTTGCATATAATTGCAATATTTTGTAAAAATGATACATTCATCTGCTAAGTATATCCTTTTTTAAAAACAGTAACCTGTATTTTAAAAATGGGGGCTGTACAAACAAGTGCAAATCATTTTCGTTCACAATAAAATTTTAACTTCAAAAATAACATATTTTTCAAGATATTTAGAGAAATACACTTTATTAAACTTGAACATTATATATCTCAAAAACAAAGGCTTCAAGGCAATTTTTTTTAGAAGAAATCTTACCCTTTCTTCTTTGTGTCTGTCCTCGGAGGAGCCCCACTTTTACCCTGTTGTGATTGTGGCTTGCGCACTGATTCTTGCAACTATGACAAGCTTTTTGGTGGTTACATAAGTGAGACGTAGTATACCTATGTCTCACTAAAAGAATTTATTTCAATCATAGTTGACAGCTGAAGTGGAAGTTTCCATAATACTATTTTAGTTTTTTTTTTATATATATAAAATTAAATTTATGAATTACTTCTTATAGTATACAGTATGATATAAATGAGAAAGGAATAAATTCATTATTTCTAAATCGATGACTGAACAAAAATCCTGAAACAAGTCAATTTTTATTTTTAAAAGTTTGTTCTACGAGTTATTTGTTTTACATATGATGTCATCTGTGTGACAGTGATGATGTCATTAATGTTTTTTTTATATGAAATGGGTCATGTGATAACTCTTTTGAAAGGTAATTCTTTATTCAACCATATCAATAAATTTAGGAAATACAATTTTATATTTTGTAAAAAAAAAATTCTAAAATTCCACCAAAAAATGTATTTTTAATAACCTAAGTTACAATAGATTTTCAAATTGATGACCCTCAGTTATAATACAATGAAAAAGACATGATCTTCTTGAATTTTGTCTATAACTTCCGGAGTTATTTGTGCCATCTCTGTCTGAATGCATTCTTTTTATGTATCTAGATTTTGTGGTCCATTTTGATATACCTTACTTTTTAACTATCTCCATAAAAAGAAATTTAGAGGACTTAAATCTGGTGACCTAGGTAGACATTTAATTTCCACATATCTCGAAAACCGTCCGAGTAAATTCTTACTAATACAGTATAATGTGGGGGTGCACCATCTTGCTGAAGTCGCAAATAATAATAATAATAATAATAATAATAATAATCTCTTTATTTTTGAAAATTTTACAAAGCAAAATACAATTTCACCTACATAAGGTGAAGTCTAGCCAATGGCTACTCTACTTAACCTTATAAAAAATCTAATTCATATTAAATTATTTCGGATGATGTCTAAACGTATACAATGCTTGCAAAAAAGGCATATTAAAATAAAATGTTACAGGAGCATAATTATTAAAATTACAATATTAAAATTAATTGACAAAAACAAAATTTAGAAAAAATTGATATAAAAGATAAAATAGGTTAGTCATACTATAAAACCAGACACAAAAAAAATTATTACAGAACAAAGGCAAGCAATAAGTTACTGCATTTTGAGAAAATGCAGTTTACACATTTTTTTAAATCGAAGAAGTGTTAGGTTTTTTAATTTATTGTCTAAACTGTTGTAGATTGTAACATCATTTATGTTTGGAAACGGCCAATTCAGTTCGGAGCAAATCGTCTAGCAGAAATTGTAAATATCGAGGATCTGATAAGGTTCCATTGAAAAATATGGACCTATGATCCTATAATCTACTATTCCAACCTAAACATTCACGTTCTCTAGGTATGAGTGCATTCAATGTGGATTTTCAGTTTCCCAATACCGACAAGTTTAAGGCTTCATGCGACCATTTAGGAGGAATGTAACTTCATCAGAGAAATGGAGGCTTTTTAAAAACATCAGATTTCGATTAATTTTTCCCATTAAAATTCCACAAAATTCAACTCATTTATCAAAATGGTCTTCCAAAAGCTCCTGAACTAAGGTAACTTTGTAAGGATGCCACTTTTCAATTTTTTCAACATTAGAAAAAAAATGATCCATGTTTTTAACTAATGATTCTACTATCTTTACGGAGGTTCTTTACATGACCCACTTCCCTAACCTTCTTTTTAATGTTTACTGTGGATTGAGAAACTGTTCTCGGTTGGGGTAATTATATTAAATAAATCCCTCTGAGTCCTGTCTCCATAACAATCATTATTATAATTTCAATTATTTCCATTTCAATAAGCTTCATGTTGATAAAAAACACTTTTAAATATTCCTAGTATATCAGCATTAAGTACTTAACAGAAACGCGAATTAAGTCGATTAGAATGTAGCCTTATTGAAAATATAGAGCCTTCATAAATGTTTACAAGTCATGTGACTGTCGAGCTTAGGCAACTCAACATTGCACGACTGGTACTGGTAAGGAAAAATCTTATCATCAATATTAATGATGAATGTTAACCTGTTTCAGAATTTTTGCCCAAAGTCACCGATTTATGAAATAATAAATTTATTCCTTTCACTGTATTTAAAAGAAATATAAAAATGATATAATTATATCTTCTAATTAATTATGTGGTTCATGTGTTCAACTCCAAATTTAATTGGAAAAAAATATTTGTTCCAGACTTGAAATTGATGTAGTCAGAAAAACATCATATATCAGAGGAGTCTCTGTGGCTATTATGGTTTTTACCGAAAGAGTGACTCTGTACTTAACAATCATAACCTATGTACTTCTTGGCAATAGACTTACAGGAGATGTAGTATTTTCTATGGCTCAACTTTTTAATACTGTTCAACTTTACATGTCTATATTTTATCCTATGGCTATTAGTTCTTATGCAGAAGCTGATGTGTCTATCAAAAGACTAGAAAAGTTTTTACTTTTAGAAGAAAACACTGACATTGCAGTTGCTAACGAACAGACAATAAGTGACATAGAGAAGAAAGGCACTGTCAGAATAGTGAAAGTAAATGCAAGTTGGCTGCCAAATCCTATTGTTGATACACTGATGAATATAAATTTAGATATTGCACCCGGCACATTGTGCTGTGTTGTTGGAAATGTTGGTTCTGGAAAAAGTTCGCTACTGCAGCTGTTACTGAGGGAATTACCATTAAATGCTGGAAGAGTTGATATCGGTGGAAGTATTTCCTATGCCTCTCAAGAATCTTGGTTATTTGTTTCTAGTGTTAGGAATAATATACTTTTTGGAAGACCATATATAAAAAATAGGTAATTAATTTTGTATACAAGAATATAACCTAATAGTATAAATAACAATTTATGTGCAGCTCGTATTGTACAAACTCTACTAAACTTAATTTTACATTTGCTTTTTCATCATCAAGAAATTAATTAATATTTTTATTAATTTATTATTTATTTACAGGTTTATGATCTACAAAATGTTTGTAGTACAATTATTCATAACTTAAAATCGCAAAAAATATTTCAAATGTGATAACTAAATAATAGAAATTCTAAAAAAGTTGATGATACAGTGTTTATTAAGTATTTGTACCAACTTTAAAGGGTGAATCTTTGACTAATTTTAAAATAAAAAGTTTGTATGAGTCCACAACGACTTGGTTCTTGAGGTAATGTCCCAAAAAAAATTTTTGTTTGGTATTTCGATTATATTTTTGTTCAATAACGTGTCAATTTGACGATTCGAGAAACTGGGACCATTGATGATGAGAAACTTAAATATTTACTTACAAGGAGAAGGTAAGGTAGTCGGATTTTTGTAATTTTTGATATTTATAGTACGTGTAGTTTGGACCTTTGAATAAGAATTTTTCGAAGTAGTTCGACGCAACGTTCATAAATTACCGAGATAATCGATTTTGAAGTTTTACCTGACAGTTAAATCCACTAGATGTGACGCATTATTCAAGTGAGAGCGTGGCCTAATTGGTAACGTTCGGTACTGTTAGTCACGAGATCGCTGGTTCGAGTCCTTTGCGTGACATACATTTTTTTTTTTCAAAACACCATATGGTTTTTTATTATTTTTTTCATCTCGAAAATTATGAACAAACGAAATATTATAATAAATACCTATGTATATGTAGAAATATTCTTCAAATATTTCATTAAAATGCACAATTGGTTGATTAACAATATTTATTATAAATTAACAATAAAATTTCTTTAAAAAAAAACAAACGAGGTCAGGTAGGTTTTTTATTTTATTTTTAGTATTTGACATTTTACGCAGTGTGACATAAGCCAGAATGATTTTATCATAGAAACGTGGGAAGCAGAAATTTTTTAAGCATCTAGCATGTCGTGTAAATGTTATGTTTTTACAGGCGAATTTTTTTTTGAAAATATCGACGTTGAAGCAAATTTCGTTAATATTTTGAAAGATTGTTCTTTCATCACATAGTTTCGATGCTTCTCTACCCTTTGTGGAATTTAACGAAATTTTTTATTCCCGAGCACTGTGTTCTGTAAGCGGTTTTTTTTAAACACGGTGGATGACCCACAGAATCTAGCTCAAAATGTTAATTAAACACTTGAAGAATATTCCTACATACAGTTCTCATAATATTTCGTTTGTTCATAATTTTCAAGATGAGAAAAAGAAAAAGAAAGGAAGCTAGATGCTTAAAAAATTTCTGCTTCCCATTTTTTTATGATAGCTATCATTTTGGCTCGTACCACATTGCGTAAAATCCCAAATACTAACATAAATATAAAATAAAAGAACATCCTACCTGACCTCGTTTGTTTTTTTTTAATGAAATCTTATTGTTAATTCATAATAAATAAGTATTGTTTATCAACCAATTGTGCATTTTAATGAAATATTTGGAGAATATTCCTACATATACATAAGTATTTATTATATTTCGTTTGTTCATAATTTTCGAGATGAAAAAAATAATAAAAAACCATATGGTGCGTTTTGAAAAAAAAAAAAGTCACGTGACGGACTCGAACCAGCGATTTCGTGACTGTCAGTCCCGAACGCTACCAATTAGGCCACGCTCCCAGTTGAAGAATGCGTCACATCTAGTGGATTTAACTGTCAGGTAAAACTTCAAAATCGATTATCTCGGTAATTTATGAACGTTGCGTCGAACTACTTTGAAAAATTCTTATTCAAGTTCCAAACTACACGTACCATAAATATCAAAAATTACAAAAATCCGACTACTTTACCTTCTCTTTGTTAGTTTTTTGTTTAATCTTAGAGGGCGCCATATAGTGTTGTATCTGGATTTAAATAACCATAACTTTTTTGTGTCGCACTATTCATTTTTGACTAAACGTACCTATTTTCCACTCAATTTTGCAAAAGGTATTTGCCACTGAAAGCAGCCGTTTTGTAAAAAAATGGGTTTAAAATTAAACCTGCATTGGAATTTTGTAAGTTGAATCATTAAGAGTTTTTGCAAAATAAGCGAATAAGAGTTGTGTGCTATGATAAACTATCACTGTACAAATTACTATCATTACTTAGTGAAAATTAGAAAAAAAATTAAAAATTCGCAAAAAGCGTGCTGCATCTTTCGGTGGGATCATTTGAAATCACTAGTTTACAAAACTCCAGTCCAAAACAAACAAGGTCTAAGGAACAGGATAATTGAATATTAGCAAAAAATGTTCAACAGGCAATTTGATCTAGAGAAACTCGTCTTTAAAATGAGACTTTATAATACAGGGTGGTCCGAATTTTATGCAGGAAACTTCAAGGGTAGATAGATCTCTTTAAAATAATACGTGTTTGCCTTAAACATAGGTCTGGAACGGCCCCGTTTTAGAGATACAGGGTGTTGAGGTTTTAAAAAATAATAATTTTTTGTTTATATCGCACACTATCTCACAGGTGGTGTAGAAAGGAGTGTAAATAATTTTATTGATGTGCTTACAAATTGCACTTACTTTTAAAGATAAACAAATATTCTTGTAATATTATCGTTAGAAGTATCTGCCACAAGGGGATTGTATTGGTATGAATAACTTGAAAACGGCGAATCTTAGGGAAAAAATTAAAGTCACCTTTTTTACGTATTTTGTGCAGTAAAATATAAATCAGTTACAATGGTCACCCAAAGGACATTTAAATAAAGGGGACTTATTTATTTACATTTCTAGATGAAGCCTGGTCTATTCACAGTCTAATTGTATCATTGTTGTCAGCTGTATAATTATACTGGAAATGTACTTAATATTTTTATCGCAATTTTCATCACAATTGTAAAAATTATTATTATAGGATAGTATTATTAAGTTATGCATACAATATTGTTAAATTCTGTAGGTACATATTAAACTATTTTTCATTTTTCATATTTGCCAAGACTTGGCAACTACGCAATAATTTGTAGCGTATTCCTCGTTCGTTCTGCCGTAGTTGGCAGAATATGGCATCTCTTGTCAGAAAATAGTTGTGATTTTAGTAAGTGAAACGTGATTAGTGTTTATACATATATTTTGGATAATCTTTTAAGGTGTGAATATGGTTAGACAGTGCAGAATTTGTAAGAAATTGGATTATAAACATCCACATCAGCTATCCTTCCACAGGTAAGCGTGCTTGAAGGTGACTTTGGAATGTATATGCAACTGTGGGCATTGTCGTGCGTGTGGGTAACTTTTATTTGAATTTTATAAAACTGACTTGGTATTTTTTTAAAATTTTTGCTGAAATAGTAAGAAAACAATAATATGAACCACGTTTGGCCATTAAAATCAAAGGAAAATGCTGCACCACAAATAAGTTACAGACATTATTTATATTTAATATATTTATAGGTATTTCAATGTTATCCCTTATACCCAACATTACAAATTTTAATCAATCATCATTTTCATCTTTTCCAAAATATATTTACAATTTTACTAAATGCACAAGCATAAAAACTGAATATATACAACAGAAAAAATATGGTGATGGTTCACTTATACATAAAAATACCAAAGATGCAATCAACTGAAACTTGCATTCATTCAACCATTTGATGTTCTCCTTTGGGAATATATTATTATCTCTCACTAAAAATTTACCTCAGTATTCTAAAAGTGAAATGTGAACGTTTTTAGGATGCTTGGGGATGGTGCGACAAGAAAGAAATGGTTACAGTTATTGGGATTCCAAGAAGTTATAAAAATATTATATATATTTATTATAAAAATACTGAGTAGCTGTTGAAATATATTGACTTAGGACTATAAAATATTTTATTTTGACCCATCCAAAATGTACGACATTGGAGATGTAATCGCGCGCATCAGTTGGATGAAAATAAAGCCCTCTGCTTTCCCCTTGTCTAGCTTCACCCAACATATGAGATAGACTGTGACATGCATAGTCCCCTTTATTTAAATGTTCTTGGGGTGACCCCTGTCCAGTTGCACACCACTGGTTGAACCTTTAAAGCTCATATTTCAGGGGATATAAGGCCTACTATCATACATTATATGTACCAAATTTTATTGAGATCGGTTAATAGATTCCTGAGATATAAACAAAAAATCAACTTTTTTTGACAACTTCAACACCCCGTATCTCTAAAACGGTGCCGTTCCAGACCTATATAAGGCAAACACATATTATTTTAAAGAGATCTATCTGCCCTTGAAGTTTCCTGCATAAAATTCGGACCACCCTGTATAATTATTACCAAATTATGTTTTTTCCCTAATAAACAAATAAAATAAATAACTCCGCAGTTTTAACTTTTGAAAGAAGTATATACACCATTCGAAAGCTCATAAAAAAACCTACAAATTGAAAAAAAAAAGTTTCTATGACCAATAGGTCCGGAGTTAGCAATTTTTTTACAACTAAATTTGAAAAAAATTTTAATCTTTTTTAACTAGAACTAACTTGAACTAGAAGAATGTTTTCGTCATAACCCTGCCCCCGGAATAGTCATTTGAAAATGGGCCTTTTTTGCAAAAATGGGATAAATAAGTGAAATTTTGCAAAAACTATTTGACTGATCTAGCCCATCTTTTGCACATCTCTTAAGGATATAAAAACTCACATTTTGGGAAAGTTTGATGAAATTTTATTAATTATTTAAAAAGTTATTAACAATTAAAGGAAAAGCACTTTTTAACTTATAGTATCATTTTAAAGATGAGTTGCTCTAGATTAAATCGTGTGTTGAACATTTTTTGCTAAGATTAAGTTTTTTTACAATGCATAGAACGAAAAATGCTGAATTTTTGACCTATTAGTTGATAAAAAACAATGACGCTATACTTTTTTCATCACCCACGAGATGAGATGCCTCTTGTATTATCACTCCCAAGACTTTCCAACAATAAAATCACGCCCAGTAATTTTCACGATTTCTTGATGATTTTTCACCCTTATTTCTTGGTCTATCAGGTATATTTGAAATTTATCAATGTTAAGGCGAATTGATGCATGTGCTGCAGTAGGCGAAGGTCATTTTCAGCAAATATTGTAAATGTTATTAACTTATTTGTAGAAGTAGTTCAGTCTTAGTCTTGTAAATGATCTAAGTTTGTCACATCGCAATACAATCAATAAAAAATGCATTTTTTCACTAGTTGTAGACCCATGTGCATACTCGTATGAACTTTTTATCGTAAAATTACTCAAAGATTCATCGTTTAAAGTTTGTACAACTACTTAATAAACACCCTATATAATGAAAAGGATGAAAGGGATAATGTAAGTCCTTGATGATAAAAAAGTTATACTCGGCTCACGTGACTCGTCATAAAAGTACATTACTACAGATGTTTACTTCATCTAACAACCGTAAAAATAACTCTTGCCTTACTCTCTGCTTTATAATACAGAAGTGACCAGCACGCATATGTATCTATAACAAATTGTTCATTTTAAAAAATTTATAGTTCATTTATTTAAAACTGAATCTGTATTATAGACATTTTCCAATTGTAGATATAAAGATGTCGTGAAAGTGTGTGCCTTAGAAAGAGATTTTGAGCAATTTCCTCATGGTGACAAAACTTTAGTTGGAGAAAGGGGTGTATCCCTTAGTGGAGGGCAAAGAGCAAGAATTAATTTGGCAAGAGCCGTTTACGCTGATGCTGATATTTACTTACTTGATGATCCTTTGTCAGCTGTTGATACACACGTTGGAAAACACTTATTTCATGAATGCTTTAAAAAGTATTTGAAAGATAAAACAAGAATTTTAGTTACTCATCAGTTGCAGTTTTTAAAAGAAGCAGATATAATTGTAATTATAAACAATGTGAGTTAATTCCGATATCTTGTTAAAAAGTGTAATAAATAGTGAAATATTTATAGGGTAGGATTGAGAAAATTTGTACATATAGTGAACTGTCTAAAACGGAACTAGGAAGCTTAAACCAAGAGAATGCAAAAGAAAATGAGAAGGAAAACATTCAAGAAGATCATAGAGAAAGAGTACAGTCAGTAACTTCAGTTCGTAGAGAAAGATTGCAGTCCGTGACCTCAGTTGGAGTAAGTTCAGATATTGCCAAATATACAGATTATTTCAGAAACAACTTATTTTCCAAGTCAAGGTTTTAGTGGGATAAAGATCAATAAATAAAAGAACACTATATTTTAAATCATTGCCAACGTTTCGGTGTTATTTTACACCATCCTCAGGGCTCTAAAATACAAACAATGTTTTTTAATAAAATTCGTTAAGGTATTAAAATAAAAAACAAATACATTTACAATAATTCTAAAAAATTGTTCCTGTCACAATTACCATAAAACCCAAAAAAAAAAAATTCTAAAACAGCTCTAAAAATAACATGGGTATTACTCACTCACCGAAATTTGAAGTGTCTTTTGTCCAACTTAACGGTTCTAAATATTAAGAAGATCGTATCTAGATACTTATATGTGTACTTATAATTCATGGAAAAATTGCATGTGGTTTTCTTTCACAGTAAAAATTGTTGTAATGTCTTAGGTACTGTTCAGCAGAATGACAGTAGAAAAATACATTGATTCTAATGTGTGTAGATAGCATGCTTCTTTTTCCTAAAAAAGAAAAAGTAAGAGGATAACTAATCAAGATCGCAAAACAGTGGAAACACAATTTATTTTCTTGAAATGGCTGATATAAAGTGCCAGAGAATAGGAACTTATCAGACTGAATATATTTTTAACTTTACGTTATACAAGATCAACATTTGTTTCTCTTTAATATTCTTAACTGACCTTCCAAAAATTGGACTCTAAACATGAATTGAATGAAAAGGGTTAATTTCTATGTCTTCCTATATTTATTTCTGAAACACCCCATATATTGCAAAATTTAAAGCCCAAAAATATTTTTTCTTTTCAAATGCATTTTTCTGACATTTCAGTTAATCAGTACTAAAAGTAACAAGGTACAAAGGTAATATTTTTTCAAACAATAGAACTCGTCGTGAAATAGAAAACTTAACAAATTCATTACAACCAAAACGTATATTTGAGAAAACTTTATTTACTCTTAATAAATTGAAACTAGAATTATGAATAGCAACAATTTGAAAGATAAAACCAGTTGAAGTTAATAACTTTTTTTTAATTTTTATTAATGGTATTTTCATTTACTCTTTTTATTTGATTAGGCATTTCTAATAAAACAAAAAAACCCATTGCTTTTAAATAATTTGCTTTTCATTACCTTAATTTTAGAGTTCATTAGTTAATGAAGATGAGCCACAGGAAACAGATGAATTGATTGAGAAAGGTGCTATTCCCACTTCGACATACTTAGAATATTGTCGAGCTGGTGGTACTATTTTCCTTCTGTTATTTTTATTTTTCTTATTAATAATAGCACAAATGGCATCAAATGCTTCAGATTTATGGGTAACTTATTGGTAAGTAATCAGTAAAAATAAATTTATGCATGTAATGTAAAAAAAACATAGAACCAATTTCTTCACTTCCTGATAAAGAGTGACTCCGAAAATCGCCCATTTTGGCAAACTCGTAATTCATTAAAATAATAAAAGTTATCATATATCAAAAAAATTCGTTAATTTTTTATTTTTAAAATTTTGACCATTAGCTTGGATCCACCATTTTGAATTTTGCAAATCTGATCTCGGATTCATAATCAGCGACCCTGAAAACCCCTATATACCCAATTTGGTCGAATTTGGTTCAATTTCAAAAATTTATTCCGCCATATTGGATCCGCCATCTTAAATTTTGAAATTCTGACTTCATTCATAATCAGCAGCCCCAAAAACCTAAGGAACCACCTTGACCTTGATGATAGGCCATCTAAAAAACAGTGAACTTAAAGGTTTAAAGTGATATGCTCTATACATAAGATCACGAGTTTTATGATATGTATCACTCGTATCTCCAAAACCAAAGCTGAACTCATCTTGGAACTTTCTCAGTAACTTACCACAAAATTTTTAACGAATTACGAGTTTGCCAAAATGCAAGTAATATGAAGAGTTTGGTCAATTTTTTATTTTTTAGGACAAATATGGAAGAACTCAGATACCAATTAACTCCAAGTGAAAATTTAATAACAGGGAATTTAACAAATAATTTTAATATTACCACCACTGAAACCCCCAGTATAATTAACGATACTTTGAAAAATGTCACAAATCAAGTTGATATCACTTCTATTGGATCTCGAGATAGTTATATTATTATTTATACGATATTCATTATAGGATCCATAATTTTAACTACTGCTAGATCACTATTGTATTATAAAATTTGCATGACTGCATCCATAAATTTACACAATAAAATGTTTTCCAATGTCCTACAAGCTCCAATGCGATTTTTTGATACAAATCCATCAGGTGAGTCTATTTAGACATATAAGCTGTTGCAGTATTCTACTAACAAATTAATAGGTCCAGATATATTTGGTTTTTAGGATACAGAGTGATTGATATTGAGATATTTTTTTATTTAACTGTTTGGATGATATTTATCAAAAAGTGATTTGATCATATTTGTCATATGGTCTATCGATTGAATAATATGATAATAATCATAATAATTCAAGTCTCATACCTAACTGGTTAGCAAATACGATCATTCCATCTGCCTGGAAATGTGTAAAACAAATGTGAATAATAGTATCAAAAAAAAAAAAATTGCCTTGGACCTCAAAACCAAAACATATGAAAGCTCCATGAACTTTTTTTAGAGAATAGCCTGTACCCTTGACTATATACACTAAGACTATCAGTCCTTAATAAACACTGAAATAGTTGTCAAAACTTCTGTTAGATGTCGCACTATATGGCATTCTGCATTTATTCAAACGAAGGAAATAAAGCGCGACTACGTCAGTATGCAAAAAACGGCGAAGGCGTTTCAAGGGCGTGACTTCTCGCATTTCGCATGCCCTACCAAGATTGGAGATATATTCTGTTTGTCGAAATTATCGTTCAAATTAAANCTATCGGCACTTAAAATTGCGCCATCTATTACCGAATGGTCCAAGCGCACATGTCATTTTTGAGTTCGTTTCCCATCGGGCGAGAATTGGTTTCCCAAACCGGGCAACAAGTTCTCCTATTAGCTTGATACGTCTGAGTGTATATAGTCGAGGCCTGTACTTATTTGTGGAATATTATAACGCTATATTTTGTTTAAAAAATCAACAGTGTGTAGAACTACTCAATATTTCAAATAATATTTTTTAAATAACTTCAAAATAAGACAGCTACAACCTTCCATAAGTATGAGAAAAATTGCCTTGCTCATAAATTAAGCAAAAGAAAGTTGATCAATATTCAAAATGATACAGAAACCTAATGTTTCTCATTTTTTTTTTGAATATTTTTATTTTATTTTCTTGTATTTTCACTCCTCAATGCGATCATTTTTTCGAGTTGTATAAAAGGGAAGAGACATATTGACTTGCGAGAACATCGTGGAGAACATGCGTGAAAACCTAAAATATGGGAAAGCGTACAACAGGAAGGACAATTTTTCAATGTTGCTGTCAAAATTTGGGCAACGTTGTGGCAAAATCTATTTCGTGTGCAACGAGTTCAAACCTTACAGCAACAAGACCATCCCAACAAAGTTGTTTTGCAAGTATCACTTACAGCATCATGGAATGAAACAAAACTTTAATAAAAACATTTTGGTTATGAACCGGCTACATTTATTCAAAATGGAATTAACAATTTTTGCAATATTCATATTTGGTCAGTTAATAATGCTTTTAGGCAATCAAATGTTCAAGATAGTTTTTCAGTATGTGTTAGCAAATATTATCAACAGTAATCTTGTTGAATGTTTAACTTGCCAGTTTGTTTAATGGGCCAAAGTTTTCTGTAATTGTTGCAAAATTATCAACTGGGTCTTCTACATGATTTGAAACACAAAGAGAACATGTCATTGTTACTAGATGGAATGCCAGTCCATTTTAGGCTTGAAGCACGGGTGTTTTAGACATTACTTTCCATACTATGTAGGTAGGTCATGGAGAGCCTGTCGGATCACCAGATCTTAACCCTTGTGATATATTTTTATGGGATTGAATGAAAACCTTAGTTAACATAAGAGAAGAACTTATTGCACACAGAACAGGCAGCTGATACAATTAAGTAAAAAATTTTTCCTTATACCTACCCTACGCAGGTGCCCAGACTCTTGGATAAATCGTTCCCATCTTTGTCTGGATCAGGGTGGTCATTTTTAACTTTTTTTTTAAATTCCAGGCAGAATTAGACTAAATGTTATTTTCCTGATTAATGTTTATTATTTTTAAGATTCTTGACAATTAGTATTTGAAAAAAATGTTTATTTTAATGAGTTTTACAAGCTATAAAAAATACGACTCAACTTAGGAATCACCCAGTATATAATTATATATTTTTTATTCACTATTAATTTCCAGGAAGGATATTGAATCGATTCTCAAAAGATATGGGTGCTGTAGATGAATTATTGCCCAGAGCGGGACTGGATGCACTTCAAATTTTTCTCGTCATGTTTGGTATTCTGGTAATGGTTTTTATAGTAACTCCATGGATGGTTGCCCCAGCGATAGTTCTTGGAATTATTTTCTATTACTTCAGGCTTATATATCTGGAAACTGCTCAGGATGTAAAACGTTTGGAAGGAACTAGTAAGTTTCAAGTCCTCAGGTAGAATTTAAATAGTACAGTACAGCCTTGATAATCCAAACATACTTCAATTTGGATTTGGGCATCCAGTAATCCGGAGAGCCCGTTCAATTGAAATCCACATATTTTTCTCTTGAACAAAACCTTTATAACCTGAACTAAACCTGTATAGGGAATATATGTACATACATACAGGATGTAACTTTAAGTGAGGATAATTTTTTTGGGGGTAATAATATGCGTTCCTCTGAAAGTAAATATAAAATGCTTTTTTTAATTAAATAAATAAATGAGTTATATTAAGTTTTTTCAGCTGCATTTTAATTATTGTGGTTTACTTAGTGTGGTGATACATTTGCACTGATACACTTGTCAACATTAACAATTGTTACTTTTTTAAATCAAAAGAATAATTTAATAAAAAAATTGCTTTTGTAATACTTAGCGATGTGTTATTTTAATAGTCCAAGAGCTTGTAACGCATGTTTTATGAAGTGTTTGATGCATCTTAAAATTTTTTAATTCTAGTATCTATGGGATACCAAGCTGGAATACCTTTGTTGGCTTGACCCAACCCGGGACACCTGGCACTGCGCCATAATAGAAAGGTGTAATAAAGTATAATCCAAAAAAATATGTTTGATTCAGAGGCCAACAAACGTTAATCAAAAGTTTAAATAATTTAACACATACAATTTAATAAGGCAGACACTTTTGAGGGGGTTTACATTTAATTAATACACCCCAAAGTTGTTTTTTAGAAAATACCATTTAAAGCGATTGTGAGGTTATTATTGAAAATTCCACGATTAGAATGTATAATCAATTTTATAGGTTTATTATCATAAAAAATATTTGTTACAAGTACATTTCATAAAAATGTTTAGAAAAGTATCTTCAATTTTCCTCCTCATCACTACTGTCCTCCGATTCTTCTTCTGTAGAATCATCACTTGAAAGCATGTCTTGACCGTAAAAAATTTGTTCATTTTCTGAAAAAAATTAAAACATAATTAATATTTTATGTGTTAAATTATTTAAACTTTTGATTAACGTTTGTTGGCCTCTGAATCAAACATTTTTTTTGGATTATATTTTATTACACCTTTCTATTATGCGCAGTGCCAGGTGTCCCGGGTTGGGTCAAGCCAACACAGGTATTCCAGCTTGGTATCCCATAGATACTAGAATTAAAAAATTTTAAGATGCATCAAACACTTCATGAAACATGCGTTACCAGCTCTCCGACTATAAAGTCACCATAATAAAGTCATCAGTTTCTAAAAAAATATTTTTTTACATGTGTTTTGAAATAAACTGTATTTTTATTACTGGTTCAATTTCATATGACAGTAATTGTTGTTAATGAAATAACTGAGGATATTAAGAGAAAACGATTGTTGGATTTCTTACCTTTAAAATGACACAATTGCACGGGAAAGTAGGTACTTAACAATGGCTGATATTGGCCGGTTTTGTAATTAAAACATCAGAGTTTAATAGCAGAGCAAAAGAGATAAAAATAGTACAAAAGATTAAGTTTAATTTCAACGAGAGTTACCATTCAAGTCTTATCTTGTGGGGAGTTGCCAATAAAGCCGTTGAAAAGCACAGATTTTATGCGATAAGAAGAAAAAAGAAACATATATAATCAATTAGAGATTCTTAGAAGTAATAATAATATGATTTAGAAATAAAAAAAACTAAATAAATAAACTAAATAAAATAAGCAAACACATGATGTGTGTATATGTATGTATGTATGTCGGAATTGTTTTTCCACCGCGGCACCTAGGCCTTATTAGGCCCCTTGTACACTCTCCTTCATTACTCGAGTACTTTTCTTCAAACCATCCTATTACTACACAGGTGGCTTGGTGGCAAAGTCTCGTACAGTTTATCTGTGATAGCATGATCTTGAGTTACAGAGATTTTCTTTGCTCTGTTCTCATTACCATTTATCGCGGCCCACACGCATGCGGCAAATGTTGAGCGACCCAGGTCTCTGGTAGGCTGCCACAGCCACGTCCCCGAGCCTCCCTTAGGTCACCCATCCAAATTCTAGCCTGCGTCCGTGGTGCTTACCTCGGCAGATCGAAATCCACCGGCCAAGACACCCGGCTAGGCGGTCCCCGCAAACACATGATTAATTAAATATTAACTAATAAATAAATAAAACAAGTTTATGATTATTATTATATTTTTAACTAATTATTTTTGCTGTTTTAAAAATGTACATAATAAAAAAAATAAATAAAAATACTTACTAATCTGGTTTATATGAAATATATTTTTAAATCATATCAAAGTTTTACAAACAATGTGTTACAATTTGTTTATGGTGTATATATTTATGAACCTGTGTCAATGCCCTCTGACATTGACCTAGTTTAGCTGAACTATACTACTGTCACTAAATAATGTAGATAAGGACACATTTAGGAAAGTTAAAACAAGTACATATTATTAAAAAGTTAGAAAATTCTAAATAAAATATGTTCTTACTGACCCACTTTATCAGCTACTAACGTATTAAACTAATCCAAAATAAATAAAAAGCAAGAGCAAAACCAAACAAGAAGAATTAAACGGTGAATGACACAAACGAAATGAAAACGGGACCAATAGTTCAATCAGTTTAAATTTTAGCAGAATCTGTTCCTGTTAGTTCCAGTGTATTTTTGTGTTTTCATTTTCAAGCTTCTGTGTGATATGAAAATGCATGTATACCAATCAAGAAATGTTGGTTGGGGTTGGTCTCACTTATAGTGAGAAACTTTGCCACAAGATTTCAAGTATGTCATATGACTATACAACGAAAGTTGGAGCTTCATGGAATATATATCATAGTTAGGTGCTGAAACATGAATATTTACCACAGAATTTTGTGAGTGATGTAGAAGAAAATGCAACGGAGGAGATAACTCTTGACTCAACTTAGTTGAGGTGTATTTGGATAGCAATGGAGGCAATTTTGCTCAAAATCAGATGAGTAAACAGATTATTTACTTTTGTGTATCTCATTTATCATTATTTATTTATTACTATTTGAGTTTTCTGTTAGATTAAGAAAAAATTATATTTTCGTTTATGTGGGATGATAGGGCTCTTGATGAACACAGTAAATTTTTCTTTTTATCTTTTTTGTATAAAATACTCAACCTTTTGTTTAAATTATCAGTTTTAACAACAATGCACACCATAGTTCTTAAGTGTATATGAACTGCAACTAACTTATGCCATTGTTTGGGTTTACACTAACTCCTCCAGTGGCGGGGTATGAAAGTTACGAAAAGAAGGTTAAAAAAATCAGTTTTACAACGGAATTTGAAAAAATAAACTTATATGTGTTGCTAACCCTTAAGTGGTCGCTAAGGCGTAAAAAGTACACCAAACAAATCTAAACCTGCAGTTTTTAGAAACTAAGCACCGGTGGGGGTGGACCGCCCACGTATCCTCCTTACACATAGTCTTCTGTATATAGGATCAGTATTACAGTTCTTAGTAGTCAGTGAACTTCTGAGAGCAGCGATTATATGTTGACTGGCGTAAATTGTACACCACGCGACCATGTAAGTAACAATTTTTTTTATTCTGGAAATATGTATGTATATCTTTATATACGTATTAACGTAATAAAATGTGTTAACATAGGTTTACGGTGCCAGTAAAAGACCCTCGAAGGCTTACCCAAGCTAAAATGGAAGCCATTATGCAGAAAATTGTAGAAGAACCTGAGAGCGATGATATGGGAGGCACTGATGAAGATGCATCAGATGAACTAATCGAGAACAGTGATCATAACTCATGTTCAGAACAAGAAGGTGCTGGTGAAGATTTATTAGCTATTCAAAATAGTCAATCGGAAACAGAAGAAGGGACATTTCGAAATCCTATGTTTGTCTGTAGAGATAAAAATGTATTGTGGAATAAACACCCACTGAAAAGTAAGTTTGCCAAAACTGACGCAAAAAATATCACAAAAATGTTACCTCATCCTCTTCTAAGCAGAGAACAGGTTTCCGACGAAATAAATGCATTCTTTTGCTTTTTTACTGAAAACATGGTAGAGAAGATAGTAACTTACACAAATATTTTTATCAGAAGTACACAAGAACATTACACCCGAGAAAGAGATGGAAAAGAAACAAGTAAAGAAGAGATGTTAGCCTTTCTCGGAATACTATATCTTTCAGGATTGAAGAAACTTAGTCATACAGATTTCAGGGAGATATGGACCACTGACGGTACTGGATTGCCCATATTTCAAGCTTGTATGAGTTATAAACGTTTCTTGTTTCTTCTGAGGGCACTAAGACTTGATGACATAAATGATCGTGAACAAAGAAAGACAACGGACAAACTAGCGGCAGTTAGAGATTCTGAACAAGTTTACAGATCTGTCAAAAAAATTATTGTCCTGGAGAGTTTTTAACCATAGATGAGATGCTGGTTCCGTTTCGGGGTCGTTGCAGCTTCATACAGTACATTCCAAACAAATCGGCGAAATATGGTATTAAAATTTTCGCACTATGCGATTCTAAAACGTTTTACGTTTCTAAGTTAGAAGTATACTGTGGTAAGCAACCTCCCGGTACATACGAATCTTCAAATTCTCCAACAGATGTTGTTCTCAGACTAGTTCAGCCATTCAAGAATAAGAATAGAAATCTAACAACCAATAACTGGTACACTGGTTATCCGCTGGTTCTAAAGCTTCTTGAAATGAAGATCACATTGGTAGGAACACTAAGAAAAATAAAAAGGAACTTCCAGCAGAGTTACTACCGAATAAAAGCAGGCCCATAAATTCATCTATTTTTGCTTTTTCAAGGGATCAAGTGTCTTACTGTTCAAAAAAAAAAATAAAGCAGTAATATTGCTTTCCACTATGCATACCAAACATGATGTAGATTGTGCGACCCAGAAACCAGATATAGTTCTGTTTTATAATAGTACCAAAGGAGGAGTCGACACTCGACCAAATGTGTTCTACATATTCTGTACAAAAGCGCACCAGGCGATGGCCTTTGGTAATTTTTTACCAGCTGCTAAATATTGCCGGTCTGAATGCGAACATAATATTCAATGCATATCATCAAAATGGTAAAAATCGTAGAATTTTTCTAAAAAAATTGGGAATGTTAGTGATGAAACCTCATTTGGTAATGAGAGAGCAAGCATTCGCAATCTGCTTACAGAAATTAAACAATTTTTGCATAGATATAAGCCTGAAGAAAATATCCCAAAAGTATTCTCCTGTTCTATTTTATTTATTTATAAAACAATTTATTTTGTAAAAAAAATTTTGTAATCTAGCAAAAGACATTATTTTAATTTTAGTATAATTACGCCTAATTACTATTACATATACTTTTTGCACCTATGTACGAGCGTTATGTATCTTTGTACAATAAATAAAATATTAAATAAACCAGTATTTTATTAAATGTTTCATGTAAATAAGAATAAAATTCTACATCAGGTATAGTTTTAATACTTGCTTTCTGATGGGGCGTATAAAATGCGCCAAGCGACCACTTAAGTCACTTCATATAGCGACCACTTAAGGGCTAAGGGTCAAAGGTTGTAAATATGAACTCCATTCAAAGTTACACACTGTTTAGTACATGTTTTGGTAAAGATTTGTTTGACCATTTGTATGTGTTTTACAACACAAAGAAAACAAATATTTGCTCATTTGGACAAATTGCTTATCAGAACGCCCCATTTCCCCTACACATCCGAATTATCAAGGTTGTACTGTACATAAATAATAAAGTCTAAGTTTAAACTAATATTATTTCCATATATAGTGTCGCCAATAAAGTACACGTCATATGGGAAAATTTTTATTAAATGATTTTCAGAAATCTAACTGCCAATCGTTAAGAAAAATAATACCAAATGACTTGCGTAAAAGCAATTGTGAAATTTTATGACGATAGGTATTTAAAAAAGAATTTGACAAAAAAGAAATAAAACAAAAAATAATGCAATTAATTGATAACATTATTCATTATGTTCAAACTTTTTTCTTCTAAATTTAATGACAACGGAGGTAGAGAGGTTAATATAAATGGGCGAGTTTTCAAGAAACCCTGTATATCTAAAACTAATCAAATTAACCAAGATCTTTCGATACCAGTGAAGTAAACTCAAAAGAAGAGAACGGGACATCGATATCATATTTTTTGTATCTATCACCATTATGGCTGTACCATATAAAACTATCGAAAATCAACTACTACACAAAAATTGTCTTTTGTTGCAAACTTTAATACGACTCAACATAATTAACATTGGCTTCATACAAGATCTAAATATCTCCTTTTTGAAAGTTGTACATGAACTGAAATAAACATTTTAAGATGTTTTGTACAGAAAGGACACCTTGGCTAACAAAAAAATCTGAAATTATGCTAAGAATAATGTTGGGCCTAATACATTGGAATTTAATAACATTATGTCTTACAGAAATGGCACTTTACTAGTGGAAAAATCTATTCTTTTCTAATTTTAAAAGCTTACTGAATTTTATATATTTGAAATCATGATAGATTTTGTTTTTCAAACAAACTGGGATAAATCCCAAATACAACACCACATTTCTGAACACCATACGTGTTTTCATTTGTCTAATCTAGGGATATGCTGTATAAGTAGGTGTTCTTATTGGTGCCTAGAAACTTCAACATAAAAAAGGGTTTTACTGCTGTTTTTCTGTATTTCATTCATTCGCTTAGTTTAACTTATTCTTTTTAGCAAAAGCACCAGTTTTCTCACATATTTCAGCAACTTTATATGGAATGCCGACAATAAGATCCTCAAAAGCTGAACGTATGATAACAAGAGAGTTTGATGTTCTACAGGATCAACACACAAGTACCTGGTTTATGTTCTTTGTAAGCAGTGAAGCATTTGGATTTTTTTTGGATATTATTAGTACAATATTTTTGGCTATGGTGACATATCAGTTTCTCATATTTAGAGATGGTAATATATTATATATTTTTATTATTATTTTTAAACATCATAATGTGTGTATTTTAAAAATTGCATATTGATTGTAGAAAATACTTTAAGTGGAAACGTTGGCCTAGTAATATCTCAAAGTTTGATATTAACGGGTATGTTACAATTTGGAGTTCGCCAAACAGCAGAAGTAACGAGTAATATGACAAGTGTGGAAAGAGTTTTGCAGTATACTAAACTTGATAAAGAAGGTCCATTTGAATCTCTACCTACTAATAAACCGGATAGAAACTGGCCAAATTCAGGTAAAGTTGTCTTTACCAATGTCTATGTCAGATATACTTTAGAAGATCCACCAGTTCTGAAAAATTTAAATATGGAAATTAATCAGGCAGAAAAGGTATTATGAAACACTTATCGACTTTTTTTTTCGAACATATTTTTCCAGGTTGGTATAGTGGGAAGAACAGGGGCTGGGAAGTCGACATTAATTGCATCCTTATTTAGATTGGCTCCTATTGAAGGTAAAATAACAATTGATGATGTGGACACTTCTGCAATTGGATTGAATGACCTTAGATCAAACATTTCTATAATTCCTCAAGAACCAGTTTTATTCTCTTCTTCGATTAGATACAACTTGGATCCTTTCGAAAAAGTTACTGATGATATGTTATGGCAGGCCCTCGAAAATGTAAGTAGATCTTAGATCTTAAGAAAAGGGAGAAAGTGTATGTATACAGTATTAAAAATTAAAGACAAAGCGAATCTGATCAAAACAGAAACAGAGCTTCACTTATTATTACTTTTTTTGTTTAAACCAGGGATCTAATATAGTATACTATGGATGGAATGTAGGAGAGATGAAACTAGTCTAGGGTTACGTGACTTAAGGCATTTCCAGACTTATCACGTGCGATTTAGTCTATCTAGTACATGGTTTTGTGTTATTGCATAGATTTGACAGTTTTATGTCGTTATTAAATACCTATGATCAGATGCTACCAGAAGAGCAATTTAGCTGAACAGTATTAAATCTGTATGTATCTTTGGTCTATATATTTGTTAGGAATGTAAGTAAAGTAATATAATAAAGCTGCATTTATTAAAATATGTTATATGTGCGGGAACAAAAATAATTTATTTTTTTTACTTGGCCCAAAATTTCTTCAAAAATATGTAGTTATATTTAAGTGGAAGTCGCGTTTATAAACGTATTATATTATATTTCTGTATTGTATTTATCTATTCGACGCTTTAGTATAAAAACATGCTATCTCAGATTTCGGTTGGAAAACATGCTATCTCAAATTTCAGTTGGAAAACATGCTACCTCAACGTAAGCTTGGAAAACATGCTAACTCAGATCTTTAAGTAAAAACATGCTATCTCAGTGTGACTAGAAATTTAAGTTGGCACATTGAATGATTGAAATCGTGCATTTATAATAAACTTATATAATATATTTTTAAAAAAGTAAGGAATGTTTATGTTCAGGT